CAGGGTGTGGCCAGGGTGCCTCCTGCCCGGGTGTGGCCAGGGTGCTTCCTGCCCGGGTGTGGCCAGGGTGCCTCCTGCCCGGGTGTGGCCAGGGTGCCTCCTGCCCGGGTGTGGCCAGGATCCCTCCTGCCCGGGTGTGGCCAGGGGCCCTTCTGCCCGGGTGTGGCCAGGGGCCCTCCTGCCCGGGTGTGGCCAGGGTCCTTCCTGCCCGGGTGTGGCCAGGGTGCCTCCTGCCCGGGTGTGGCCAGGGTGCCTCCTGCCCGGGTGTGGCCAGGGTGCCTCCTGCCCGGGTGTGGCCAGGGTGCCTCCTGCCCGGGTGTGGCCAGGGTGCCTCCTGCCCGGGTGTGGCCAGGGTGCCTCCTGCCCGGGTGTGGCCAGGGTCCCTCCTGCCTGGGTGTGGCCAGGGTGCCTCCTGCCCGGGTGTGGCCAGGGACCCTCCTGCCCGGGTGTGGCCAGGGTGCCTCCTGCCCGGGTGTGGCCAGGGACCCTCCTGCCCGGGTGTGGCCAGGGACCCTCCTGCCCGGGTGTGGCCAGGATCCCTCCTGCCCGGGTGTGGCCAGGGGCCCTCCTGCCCGGGTGTGGCCAGGGGCCCTCCTGCCCGGGTGTGGCCAGGGTCCTTCCTGCCAGGGTGTGGCCGGGTCCCTCCTGCCTGGGTGTGGCCAGGGTCCCTCCTGCCAGGGTGTGGCCAGGGTCCTTCCAGCCAGGGTGTGGCCGGGTCCCTCCTGCCTGGGTGTGGCCAGGGTGCCTCCTGCCCGGGTGTGGCCAGGGACCCTCCTGCCCGGGTGTGGCCAGGATCCCTCCTGCCCGGGTGTGGCCAGGGGCCCTCCTGCCCGGGTGTGGCCAGGGGCCCTCCTGCCCGGGTGTGGCCAGGGTCCTTCCTGCCAGGGTGTGGCCGGGTCCCTCCTGCCTGGGTGTGACCAGGGTCCCTCCTGCCAGGGTGTGGCCAGGGTCCTTCCTGCCAGGGTGTGGCCGGGTCCCTCCTGCCTGGGTGTGACCAGGGTCCCTCCTGCCAGGGTGTGGCCAGGGTCCTTCCTGCCAGGGTGTGGCCGGGTCCCTCCTGCCAGGGTGTGACCAGGGTCCCTCCTGCCAGGGTGTGGCCAGGGTCCTTCCTGCCAGGGTGTGGCCGGGTCCCTCCTGCCTGGGTGTGGCCAGGGGCCCTCCTGCCCGGGTGTGGCCAGGGTCCTTCCTGCCCGGGTGTGGCCACGATCCCTCCTGCCCGGGTGTGGCCAGGGTCCCTCCTGCCCGGGTGTGGCCACGATCCCTCCTACCCGGGTGTGGCCAAGGTCCCTCCTGCCCGGGTGTGGCCGGGTCCCTCCTGCCCGGGTGTGGCCACGATCCCTCCTGCCCGGGTGTGGCCAGGGTCCCTCCTGCCCGGGTGTGGCCAGGGTGCCTCCTGCCCGGGTGTGGCCGTGTCCCTCCTGCCCGGGTGTGGCCACGATCCCTCCTGCCCGGGTGTGGCCAGGGTCCCTCCTGCCCGGGTGTGGCCAGGGTGCCTCCTGCCCGGGTGTGGCCAGGGACCCTCCTGCCCGGGTGTGGCCAGGATCCCTCCTGCCCGGGTGTGGCCAGGGGCCCTCCTGCCCGGGTGTGGCCAGGATCCCTCCTGCCCGGGTGTGGCCACGGTCCCTCCTGCCCGGGTGTGGCCACGATCCCTCCTGCCCGGGTGTGGTCACGGTCCCTCCTGCCCGGGTGTGGCCAGGGTCCCTCCTGCCCGGGTGTGGCCACGATCCCTCCTGCCCGGGTGTGGCCAGGGTCCCTCCTGCCCGGGTGTGGCCACGATCCCTCCTGCCCGGGTGTGGCCAGGGTCCCTCCTGCCCGGGTGTGGCCGGGTCCCTCCTGCCCGGGTGTGGCCAGGGTGCCTCCTGCCTGGGTGTGGCCAGGGTCCCTCCTGCCAGGGTGTGGCCAGGGTGCCTCCTGCCTGGGTGTGGCCAGGGTCCCTCCTGCCTGGGTGTGGCCAGGGTCCCTCCTGCCTGGGTGTGGCCAGGGTCCCTCCTGCCTGGGTGTGGCCAGGGTCCCTCCTGCCTGGGTGTGGCCAGGGTCCCTCCTGCCTGGGTGTGGCCAGGGTCCCTCCTGCCTGGGTGTGGCCAGGGTCCCTCCTGCCTGGGTGTGGCCAGGGTCCCTCCTGCCTGGGTGTGGCCAGGATCCCTCCTGCCCGGGTGTGGCCAGGGTGCCTCCTGCCAGGGTGTGGCCAGGGTGCCTCCTGCCTGGGTGTGGCCAGGGTCCCTCCTGCCTGGGTGTGGCCAGGGTGTGTCAGTGGGACCATTTTTCTGGCTGACGCAATATTCGCTTGGTTATGCTCCCTAAACTTTAGGTCGTCATGCATCATTATTCGCTGATCCTTCACATGCAGCTTTCCTACTATGGGCAGACTTGTGTTTTGTCTCGTGTATTTTGTTTATTGTCTTAATATTTACTGTACATAAGTGAAGCTGGTCGCTGGAGCACTGGAGGCCGTGTGTGAGTGGTGGAGATGGTGACAGTGATGAAGATCGTGTGCTGTGTAACTGTGTCTTGAAGGTCGAGTATGGTGTAGAGGGCGCCCGAGCAATGCCGGGTATCTCCTGTGCTGAAGCGATCATCGTTACTTGGCCTTGACGGTAGAGCGACCGTCTCGCTTCCTGCAGGTCGGCGTTCAATCCCCGGCCGTCCAAGTGGTTTTGCACCATTCCTACCCCGAGCCTCCCTCCACCCCTGTCCCATCTCAAATCCTTATCTTGACCCCTTCCCAGTGCTATGTAATGGCTTGGCACTTTCCCCTGATAGTTCCCTCCCTCCCTCCTCTAGAATGTATAAATGTGGAGTTGTAGGAGTCCGGGTCCGGGGTCGAGTGCTCCAGCACGTTGACAATGGTTTGCCTTTTGTGACAATGTCTTTCATTGTCTCTGAACATGTTAGGCTTATATCGAGGACCTCCCCCCCCCCTCCCCCTCCCCCCCCCCCCCCCCCCCCCCCCCAGGGTCGAATTACTGACCCTCCCCAGAATACATCCCCCCAACAAGCTGACTAACTCCTGGGTACCTATTTACTTCTTGGTGGACAGGGGCATTTTGTGATAAGAAACGCGCCCAGCCATTTCTGTCCCACCCAGGATTCGAACCCACAATTCTTCATTGTAAGTCAAGCGAAAACCCGTCTGTACTGCCAGGACCCACGAAGAGAGCCGAGTACGGAGCGCATTGATGACTGTCATCCTGGGGTCGGAAGCTGTGTAATGCTTCAGCATCTTTACTCGGAGTAAACTTATATCCCTTATCATCCCTTAACTTATATCTTAGATTGTTCAAGTGTAGTTCAGTGCTGGCGGGATTATCTTGACGGAGAGGGATTGTCAAACTGTAATTACCTTCAATAACACTGATGTTGGAGATCACAGACTTGGCCTCACCTGACACCTGACCCTTTAAGTAATTAAACTTGGTCACTAATTAATGTCAGGCTGGGAGTCTATCAGCGCACTCAGAGACTTCCTCAACGACGTCTTGCCACGAGTCTTCACATTTTCCTGAACAAAAAAAAAAAAAGCTGGGAGGAGCATCACCATGGGATATAAGGTTTGACTATAACTCCTTAACTTTGTGGGTTAGTGGTTTGTGTTGCTGCTTGAGGAGTTAGTGCTAGTTAGGACTCCACTATCTAGAATTGGGTCTTCATTCCATGCTAGTTCAGTATGAATATTTTTCTGCTATCAGTATACTTCCCGCCAGTTAATTTAATCTTCTCAAATTCCTTGTTGACCTCATGGACATGATTCTCAAGTTACGTATTAGTCTATTACGTATTAGTCTATTATGTATTAGAGTCTATTGCGTATTGTCTATTGGTGTAGGCTGTGCAGCTTGGTCACACTTGCACAGTTGCCGTGTCAGATGACCTTTCATTCCGACATGCAAGTGGTGTTTAATAGCCTTAAACTAACCATCTTCTATGGGACTACTCACAGTACAATTATAATATTATTACTCTTGTTTAATGTATGTGTCTGAGAGTATTTTGGGTCCGAAGGTGGTCTGCCAGGTTTGGTTTCCGGCCCGTTTTTCTTTTCCAGCTTCGTCTGGTGTGAACAGGAAGACCTTGGATTCAAAGGTGTGTTACAGTCACGTATTAAAATGCAGTAATAATTATATATCATAGTTCCAGTTAGATATGTGGCACAGTATACTTAGAAGGTGAAGTACAATTCAGATGTGCTAGTAAGATTCTACCCTTAGGGAGGCTCTGCGTGGCAAGATACAGCGATTACATGTGTGGTACAATTGTACCAAGTGTATACAGATTGTGCACCACGTACCTATTTGGTACATTATACTACACTTTATTAGTAAATCCTTCCTTTTTCAAGATTTGCACATAAGATGTATAATTAGTACACCTAATGTGAGCTTGACACCTCATTGTGCTTGTCAATTTTGTTATTATAATAATTAATTGTACCAAATACTAGTGGCACAAATTTGCTACAATAATAAGTAAATAATATGGCGTCTGCACTGGTACCATTTGGTACACAGAATAATTGATGCACCTTCCACATGTCCTCCACGTGCGGCTGTAATGTACAGAGTCAATAATGTGTGGTACTAACACTGCTCCTGTCAATGGAACACTGCTAGAAATGAACATTTGTAATAATACAGTAATTTATGGTGAAGCCCCTGTGGCCGCACGGACTTTCCTGGGATCCACAATAAAAAATATATACTTTAATGCAAAAATGGTTACTGGCCCTTCATTTGGGTTTTGTGATAACATATTCTACAAATTACATTTCTGCATGATGGCAGGCACGTCGTGCAAGGTGAATGCTGCCTAAGGCTAAGCTTTATGGAAGGGACTGGCATCGAATGTAGTATAATGGGCATTAGTGTTGACTCGCCTTCGCCTTAGTTCAGGAAGTCTTACTATAATATTCTTAATCGACCCCGTGATGAGTATTGTCCACGTAATTATGTTTGACCAAATCAAATCCTAATCTTTGTCCTACTTGTTCCTCAGAAGGTGCTAACATGTTTGATGATTTCTATGATGCTTCTGACCACCTTAATGAGGGGGATGGGGGTAAGGTGTATATCATTGCTGCCTACGGATATTATGGTGAGCTGATGCTATCAGTTAAGCGCTCTCGGTAAATTCATAAAATTATGAAAATCACATCCTGTAGCTCCAGAAGACTGAAAGATATGAAAATGATCGAGTTGCCTCGGCAATTTATTGTAACCAGCTCAACCCGTCTTCAGACCAAGTCCATTCCATCCAGGGTTCGACCCCAAAGACGCATTCATCAATTTTAACATGCTGTTCATTCAAAATATGAATTTTCTCAGATATAAATTAATATTGTTATACATTAGCATACTGTGCATAATTAGGCATTGGTTAAGTTAGGTTGGGTGTTCAGGTTCTGTTGGCGAATATTTGTGTTTGTAGTACGTGGGGGAAGCATTTACAGCATTGTGGTTCGAACAAAAGAAGTCAGCGAAGCATTTGTTTGAGATGTGTTCGAACGTCATCAGTTGTGAGTCATAATAATAATAATATTAATTTATATTTGAACAAATATATGTTTTGTATAAAACAACTACTAGACGTTTCATTTCTGCACGTAATGCGAGACACAATCCTTAAATTTGACAGGAGAGTATTAGTAGTAGTGGGCATCCTGCAGTTTTGGGAGATTGTGGAGTCGTGCTCTGGTTGTCGAGGCTGGAGTGTCCTCTCCAGGGCGTAAAGCCTGGGTAGGTCGATATGGAAGAGAAGCTGTTACCCATGCAGGTCCCCCTCTTTCCACGTTGCTGAAATTGTGCGATGGAAAGGCAAACGCCAATATGCTTGGTTCTAGTGCCGTTGCAGGAGCTGCCCTTATACCCAGGAGAGTTTTTACCTAGTGAGAGTTTTTAGGCCCTTATACCCAGAGAGAGTTTTTTTCACATACGCAAAATCAAAATAAAAAACCTCGACCAGTATTGGATCGTTAATTAGAAATGAAGGTACGTACACAGAGGACAACAAAGAGATTAGTGAAATTCTAAGAAGCCATTATGAGGCTATGTTTAGCACACCAATAAACAACATGAAAGTTGATGACCCAGACAGCTTCTTTATGAATGACATTCAAGCTGCAGATAATATAACGGATATTACCACAAACTCGGAAGACTTTGAAAGAGAAATCGACAATATGCCTATGCACTCAGCTCCTGTGCCTGACTCACGGAATTCAATATTCATAAAGAAATGTAAAGTACCAGTAGCGCGAGCACTCAGCGTAATATGGAGAAAGAGCCTAGATACAGGGGAGATACCAGAAGCACTTAAATCTGCAGATATAGCTCCTTTGCACAAGGGGAGGAGGGGAGTAAAGCCTTGGCAAAAAATTATAGGCCAGTTGCACTAGCATCACACATAATGAAAGTGTTTGAAAGAGTCATTAGGAATGAAATTCCTAGTTTTATGGAAAATAATGAGTTGCACAACCCAGGACAACATGGATTTAGAGCGGGAAGATCCTGTCTGTCAGTTACTCAACCACATTGACAAAATTACAGAAGCTCTAGAAGAAAAGCAAAATGCAGATGTTGTATACACAGACTTTGCAAAGGCGTTCGACAGATGTGACCATGGAGTGATAGCTCACAAAATGATGTCAATGGGAATAACTGGAAAATAGGACGCTGGATACTCAATTTCCTGTCGAACAAAACACAAAGAGTAACAGTCAATCAAATAAAATCGAGTCCAGTACAGTCCTTGCACCGCTACGGTTCCTTATTCTCATATCAAATATAGAAAAAAAATACATGTCACAGCTTCATGTCATCCTTCGCAGATGACACAAAAATCAGCATGAAAATTACCTCTGCTGAAGACATTGGAAAATTACAAGCAGATATCAACAAAGTTTTCGATTGGGCAGCAGAAAATAACATGATGTTTAACAGTGATAAATTTCAGGTACTCAGGTACGGCAAAAATGAGGATCTGAAACATAATACAGGGTACAAAACACAATCGAATCTTCCCATAGTAGAAAAACAGCATGTCAAGGATTTGGGAATAATGATGTCCGACGATCTAACGTTTAGAGAGCATAACCAAGCAAATATTGCGTCAGCCAGAAAAATGATCGGATGGATTACGAGAACTTTCAAATCCAGGGATCCCATCACAATGGTTGTACTCTTCAAGTCACTTGTTCTGTCCCGTCTTGAGTGCTACTTAGTACTCACTTCCCCCTTCAGAGCAGGAGAGATTGCTGAAATAGAGGGAATACAGAGAACATATACGACACGCATAGACGAGATAAAACACCTAAATTATTGGGATCGTCTCAAAGCTCTCCAAATGTCCTCTCTAGAAAGGAGACGAGAGAGATACCAAATAATATACACATGGAAAATACTGGAGGGCCAAGTACCAAATCTACACAGTAAAATAACAACGTACTGGAGTGAACGATATGGAAGAAAATGCAAGATTGAACCAGTGAAGAGCAGAGGTGCCATAGGCATTATCAGAGAACTTTGTATAAACATCAGAGGTCCACGGTTGTTCAACGTCCTCCAAGCGACTATAAGAAATATTGCCGAAACAACCGGGGACATCTTCAAGAGAAAACTGGATTGTTTTCTAAGAGAAGTTCCGGATCAGCCGGGCTGTGGTGGGTATGTGGGCCTGCGGGCCGCTCCAAGCAACAGCCTGGTGGACCAAACTCTCACAAGTCGAGCCTGGCCTCGGGCCGGGCTTGGGGAGTAGAAGAACTCCCAGAACCCCATCAACCAGGTATCAACCAACCAATATACAGGCAAATAGGAACCTCAAGCAGTGTGGCGATTGCGGATATTTTCTTCTACATCACCTTTGAATCCAGGAGGATAGATAGACAAGACAGACTGCTAGCCTACTATCGCTACATAGCGGATATCTTTGGAATAACAGCGATAGGATGACACCGATTACAACAATTCTTCGCATGGGCAAACACCGTACATGGCAACCTAAGATTCATGCCTTTCACCCTTGAACAGAGTGAACATGCAATATATATTTAAAATACAACAGTATATATAGACGAGCAGAACAGAACCCTGCAGATGGAAACGTATTGTAAACCAACGAACCTTCATTTGTACCTATTGTACGATTCCTATCACTGTCCCCGAAGACTTCCCGACCTTCCTCACTGGGTCTCAGGCTTAAGAGAATAACAAGTAATGAACAGGACCTACTCCCACAACTAGAGAACCTTTGGGCCGTTTTTAAGACCAGAGGCTTCCTGGAACAAGTACTGAGGGGAAACAGCCGAGAAACTGAGGCACTTAGATAGAGACCTACTACTAAGAGTTACATAAATAAACAAGCTCCTGGACAGATGGATCCCACCAACGCTCTTTTTTTCGAAGGTTATGATAAACCACTACAGTCTAACATGAGAGACATGTGGAGTATGATGAGGGAAACCTTCAACAAACACCCGATATGGTCCGCTTTTTCAAAGACACCTCCAATGACAGCATGGAGGAAAGGTTCATTAATTAACATTAAAAGACCACCTTGCTAGAGCCATTTTTAAAACAGATTCCTCAGACGAAGCGACCTGAAGAGGTGGCACCAGCTGAGTCGAAAGAAAAAAAGAACATATGTCCGAGGTTAGAGAGGTCCCCCAGTCAAAGTGGACACCCTAACCAGAAAATCTATTGTGTTGATACTTTTGATACCCAATTAATATCCCCTAAGTTATGTCCATTCAGCCAATTGCACACCTCCATTGCGTCACCCCGAGTTCTTCGCTATTCTAGATAACGTAAATTATGCTTTGTCAAGCTTAATTTAGTCTCCAAAACAATAATCAAATAAAAATTTAAAACAGACTCCTCAGAAGGTATTGCGACCTGCTGGATACCTACTTGATGGGGTTCTGAGAGTTCTTCTAATCCCCAAACCGGGCCCAAGGCCAGGCTTGATTTATGAGAGCTTGGTTCACCAGGCTGTTGCTGGGAGCAGCCTGCATGACCCGCAGAGTCATCTGAGTCATCTAACAAAGCGACCAGCTTAGTCATCTAACAAAGGAAGAATATATGTCCAAGGTTAGGGAGGTCCCCCAGTCAAAGTAGGGTAAAAAGTCCCTAGTTAAGGAAAACTGGATTATATTAATTGTATAGATATAGTGACTCATATCACTTTCCTAAGAATATGATGAAAATGGAGTTCAGATCCATGTATATGAGGTTAGGTTAAAATTGGTTAAGTTGAAGTGATGTATAGCAAATGTTCAATAATAACACATTTCCTTTACCCTGGGTAATAGAGATTAGGTTGCGATGGGTTTTGCTCTATTGATATAATAAAATTATTGCCCCCCAAAAAACATGGTTAAGAATAAGATGCAATATTGAACCAAGATCCTGGTATCAGAGGTTAGGTCCAGGGCGGTTGAGTTGATGCTCAAACAAAACTTTCCCAAAAATACGGTACATTTGACGTTAGGTCAAAGCAGGTTAGGTGTAAGGTTATTGAGTCCATGTACAAAACAAAATATTGCCAGGAATATTGAACATAGATCCAGGCAGGTTAGGTACAGGGTGGCTGAGTTGATGTGTAAAAACAAAACCACTTTCCTAACAATATAGCTACGATATTGAACATAGTTCCAGGCAGGTTAGGTATGGGACAGTTAGGTTTATACCCAGAATCAACCCTTTTTTAAACAATGAAGTTGTAATATTCAACAAAGATCCAGGCAAGTTAGATATGGGGCAGTTAGGTTTATATCTAAAATTTACACTTTTCTAAGTATATGATGTACCAGAGGTTAGGTCTCAGGTTGTTGAGTTGCAGTAATATAAGTAAAATACATAGTAACAACAACACACTTCTAAGAATATATTCGAAAAAACCCAGCTGTAATCCACAGTGGAATGGAAGTTGCAAGTAGACATTAACAGCTCTCACAGTTAATTTCAGCCCAGGATGTGATGCACATAGGGACATTTAGTAGAATTTGGCTTTGGTTTAATATAATTATGGTAAATAGAGCGGAATTTTCCTTAAACCGGGATAAATTTGGTTAAATTTAGCTTTGGTTGGGTTGGGTTAGG